GAGCAGAATGATACTTTTTTCTTGAATGAACACAATTATAACAGTGAATGTGGCTTTGCGTTCAGGAAACGCATTCAATTCCAAACTTGAATGTTAAAATCAATCAAAATCTGGAGCAGCCGTGCATGGCAACCAATCAGCTTCTAGTTTTCATTTTTCAAAGCTTAACTGAACAAGCTGCTGAGAGAAGCCTTTTGGTCGCAATGCACAGCTGCTCCAGATCCTGTCTTCTCCAATCATAGTAAATTCCCCTCGTTGTCTTCCAAATAAAATGCAAACAGTTGCAGAAATATTATTTTTTTATTAAATTTAAAACCAAAACTAACATTTAAACATGATAAACAGACGAAGGCATAACAAAAATATGAACTAAATAAATAAATAAATGACCAACCAGATTTCCTGATAGACCGGGCCGCCTTTGGCAAAACTGTGACCAAAAACTAAATTCCAGCGAATGTGAAGTGGTAAGCTGTAACTAAAATAAAAAAAGTAAAGCATGAGTAAGTCATGTATTTCCAGTATTACATTTCCTGTGTCGATTGCCTTCTATATATGGTTTTGAAATATGTGTATGATTTTGTCTCCGTTCTAAATCTGCAGCTCTGTTTGCCTGATGAAAGGAACAGACAGGTTGCAAAATGTTGCTATGCATGGTGATATGACCTGCTGTATCGAATAAAAAGATTTGGCATTGAGGAACATTTGGAGTGCTAGTGACCATTCATTTTGTTGTTTGAGTACTTGGCGGTGCCATTCGCGGCCACTTCAGCACCCCTCCGTTATGCATGGGGTTTCTCGGTCAGGAGTGCGGATTTCCTTTGGACTCTTAGAGGAGTAGCTCTGATTTTGATCGCACTAATGCGATAATCACGTCAGGACACCCTAAGCCCGTTGACATCATTTTGTACAGTTTACTGCAGAATTAGATGTATACAGGGCCTCCAATCTGGTAATACTGATCAGAGGTTCTGCGTTCGCAATGAAAATTTAAAGTAGACAAAAGCTTACCATACCCAGGAACACAAATCCAGTTGTGGATGGAGGTCCTACAACAAAGTTACTGTCTGATTCCACAGGGTGCATCAGATGTTCCAAAGATTGGAGGGTCTCCATTTTACTGCTCCATTCCATTTACCTGAAATCCATTCCAATCCATGAACCCCAAAAGTGGGATGAATCCATAGACTTAGCAGGCCTTCCATTGGAAATAAATGATCTGCTTTTTTGCTAGACCACTGTTCCCCATCCACCCACCCAACCAACCAGACACAGTTGGCTATAAAAAGCCATTCCCTCACCCAAAATTAAAAAAATAGCACTTCCTTTGGACCAGGCTTCAGACACTTCTTGAGTGATGCCACCCTGCACCATCCTGGAAGAATGCAGTCTTGCAAAAGGCTGGAGTCAATTTTCACAGGTTTTCGAGCTCCCAGCTCATAGTGACGTAACCTGCACCTCCCAGAATCATCAGCCAGGGCCGAGGTAAGTATTTTTTTTTTTTTTTTGGTGGGGAGGGTTGGGTAACGTGTTTGTGTTGGGTTGGCAAAAAAGTAGTCCTTCCTTTTTTATGGAAGGTCCTCTTCAATCCCTAATCTGGAAGTGAAGCTCGGGTATTGTTAATTTAAAATATACAGCCCAGCATGTTGTAAATTAAGCAATACATCGTTTGGACGAAATGACTTACCTTGTTTCCTGTGCTCTATGCCACAAAAGCTTAATTCCGCTGCTGGCCACCATTCCAACCATTACGGTCCATCACTCAACCCACTTCTAGTGAACCCTGGCTGCCACGGAAACAACTTCTGAGAACTTTATACAGTGATGTATAATGCTAAATATACAGAAAAATAGATTTAGGGTCTACATACACTTTAAGCCCATTTACACTAGGTATTGGATGGCTTCACCGACGCAGTCCCAATGCATAGACAAGGCAATTTGCCTTATGCCCTATTGGTTCAGTTCACACTAATGTGCTAGGTTGATGCAAGCTAAAAAAAAAGTAGGACATGATGCTTACCCTTGAGGGCTATTAAAGGCTAAGGTTGCCTTTCAGACTTTATTTCATGCTATACTGATATTAAGGGTGTAACATGAAACATGGTCACACTTGTAGTCCATTCACTCAACTTACCTTTTGTCCATTCACACACTTGTGCCTGTAACTGAATTCTGTACGGACATGGACAGGAGGGAGAATGTGCAGGAACCAAAGCAGGAGGAATCTGCGGAACCCCCCCGCTTCCACCATCCACTGATAACAGTTGCAATGTTTTACTGGCTCCTAAGCAAAAAAATGAATCAATAAATACACGTTTTCTTATATATATATATATGCGCATTTATTTATTTAAAAGGTGAACTTTACTTATAAAGATTCCCTAGGCAATTTTCCCATTAAATATTCACCCAAAAGATTGCACAGCATTCACCTCTTCATTATTTGCCAACATTCACACTATTGTTTATGCAGGCAGGTCAATCTGGCACAATCGAATGTCACCAAGTCAAATATCAAATGTTTAAAGTACAGTGGAGGTTATTTCCTCATTTTCGGTTGAATCTTTAAGGGAATATTTTGAGTGAATCTTGTTAAACAAGTGGTCCTCTTTCTATTATTTGCCAAAATGCTCTCAATGGTGCTATAACTGTGCTTTAAGAGAGAGTCCCCTGTTGTAGAATAATCAAGACCATTGCATTGTGTGGTGAAGGAATAATCCATGTTTATCAATCACACTCTTCAAGCAACTTTACTCTCTTCCGAGATCTTGGGACTGTCGGCAGCTGCCGTTCCCCCACACCGTCTCCCTGCAACGACGTGATCATCTTGGTGGGCAGCGTCGTAGCGGGCAGTGGTGGGAGAGAGCTCAGAGCTGGGAAAGGTGGGGAGGAGGTGCGGCGTGTAGTCTGACGCGTGCGGCGTGTGTGGAGCCACGAACAGGGGCAACTAATCGAAAGCCGACTAATCGATGATGGAAAACGTTGACAACATTTTCCATCATCGATGTTGCAGCCCCAGTCACATCAGTCTCTCTACAGAGGAGCTTACACTCTAATGTCCACCACAGTCACATTAGTCTCTGTACAAAGGAGCTTAAACTCTAATGTCCCCCACAGTCACATCAGTCTCTGTACAGAGGAGCTTACACTCTAATGTCCCCCCACAGTCCCATCAGTCTCTGTGGGGGGGACATTAGAGTGTAAGCGGTGGATAACGATATCCCTGGATCCGCCGCTGCAGCGTTGTATAATGTATTGCTGGAATTCAATAGGGTGACTAGAACCTTCAGGGCAAGAAACTATGAAGGGCCCCCTAACCCCCCACCGCCATCAAACTGTGTGGTTAACAGGAAGGCTGCCGAGGTCCCCAGCAAGCGTGGGACCTCAGGCAGCCGCTTTAGTTAAAAAATTTAGTGCCGGTGTTCTATCGAGAACGCCAACCCAGTATCTGCATTTGCACACCATCAGATCCCGGTTTCCTCGATCATACTGGTCTGTGTGCAAGCACAGATACTGAGGTCGGTAAATTCGATTACGTCGGTATTCTAGACAGAACACCGGTATCTGAGTTCAGTATCGGGGCATTTTCACTAGTATGAGTACTTGTTAAAATGCCCAGTATTGGCACCGACTGGTGCATACCTACTTAAAAATATAATGCATTGCTGGGACTTGTAGTCCTGCATAGTTGGTGCTATTCTGCATTGCTGTATAATGATTACACAGCAATGCAGAATATCACCAGCTATGCAGGACTAAAACTCCCAGCAATACATCATAATAAAAATCAGGGGGATGATGAATACCACCAGTGGGGGGGGGGGGGGGGGGTTGTGCTTTTTTTTATTTACACATTTTTAATTCATTTTTTAATTATTATTTATTATTTTTTTACTGTTGGAGTGGCTTTGGGGAAATATTAGGGGTCTAAAGAGACATTTCCCTTTTGAAATAGAAAAAGACATTGAGGACACAGAGTGATGGCTACTTTACAATACACACAGGAACCACGGGGAACAAAAGTAGCCCCCCTCCAGAAGGAAGGACAGTGTCAGCACCACTTCAGAGATGATTTGAGGATCTACAGCCGCGTGATACACAAATAAAGGTGCCCATACACCTTACGACCATCGCAAGACTTTTGTCTTGCGATGGTCGTATGCTTCTTGAAAGCCCGTACGATCTGCCCACCTTGGACGGGCAGATCATACTTGCGATCATCGAAAGCCTGCCCCGCTGAGGGGCGGGCTTCCGATGACGGCAATGCAGAATGGGCAGTATGCGCGTGCACACACCGGCCCGTTCCGCAGCTATCAGGCGAGCAGGCTAGAAACCCACCGAGAATCGTACGATTCTCGGCGGGTTTTCGAGCATTTTGGCTCGACAAAAGACGTGCGACCGTACAGTAGAAACGGTCGCTCGTCTTAGTTCACACTGCCCGATTCTCGTACGATCGCGGGATTTCGCCCGATTCTCGTACGAGAATCGAGCAGTGTATGGGCACCTTAAGAGACATTTTTTTTTGCATGTAATTTTTATTGAAGGTTTTCCAACACTACAAAACAGGCAGAATTTGCCGCAGTCATTTCAAGTTCACAATGAAAGATACATTTTTTTGAATAGTTATGGTTCTTGAAAGCATTTTTAAGAATTATCTGTTGAGTTTAGTGTCACTTTAAGTCTCTAGCAACTATGGATTTAACAAATTTAGCAAGCTCCAAATATATATCGGCACTTTGTATATTCCTATGTATAATGTTGTCATTCCAGAACGAACTTGCAAAAGGAACTATTACGACACAATGTATGTACTTCTCTTTATGCAATGACAGTAACCCTAATAAGGTAAATTTAAAAAAATAAACTGACGTGCTGATGTTGACATTGTGCAGCACAGTTCTGTGTAGAGTAGGATTGCTTGGGCAATCCTGTAATTTTAGCTTTAACAGCAAAAGGCACTTCCTTTTGTCACTTGCACATCAGGGACACACCACAGGCACACGGTGACAATGCTGGGACCTCTGCTATTGCTGCTCGCCCTGCGGGACAGCCTGGTTTTGGGTGAGTCTTTCCATTTGTTTGTATTATTATACACAGCTGGCTATTTTTGTTGTACGAATCAATTCCTAATTTCCTTACGATACCCCTGATGCCTTCTGGTCTCACTATTGTATTATTCCACTGTTCACACTTCGCCTTTTACAGATCTTATCTCATATCATATCATATTATATTAATTATATAATATTATTTTATATTATATTATAGAAATATATTTCTATAAACCTTTACTACGACATTTATTCATCTTCTTGTAGCATCACACATATTTCCGGTGCATAGACAGCACAGAAAAAAAAAGTACAGCGTACTAATTTTAGTATTCAAGAGTCATAAAAGCACCAAATCCACGGCGCTGTAATGTATATATAGAGTTATACAAGGACGCTGTAAAATGATAAATGACGCACACATGATCCATTTTTTCTGTGCTCTCTCACAAACCAGCAATGAGTCAATTGTTTCTGGTGCAGTTTGTTTCAGTAGTTTGCAGTTTGCAGTTGTTTCAGTAGCTGGGCGGGCTACACTAGGCATGTAAATTGAGTTTTGTTCCGAATGGATATTCGTACGGATTTTATTAAATTCAGACGTTCAGATTCATGACAATTTCCGAATTTGACAGAGTTATTCACTAAAGGGTGAAGGGTTTGCAGAAGGCAGGAGAAGGGAACTATCTAGGACAACATAGCTGAACTGGAAAGTGAATTGAATTGGAGAACATTTCCAAATCAGCGATGTTGTCCTGGATTGTTAACTTCTCCGGCCTCTCCAAACTCTTCACCCTTTTAATGTGAATAACTTTTGATAAGTTTTATCAAATTACACAAAATCTTCAGAATATGTTGGCATTGATAGCGTCTTGTAATGCCAACTGGTTAACATTTACGTTGTTTTTTTGTACATTAAGCCACATTAGGTTACACAAAAAACAAGCTTAATGTCACTCATTTGCCTTGTGGGTAACTGAGAATATGGGTTGTGCAAAGTTTCAAGGCATTTGATTGAGGTTTAGATACTTTTATACACATAAAGCTCTTTTTAAATTAAGCTGTTCACATTAAGGGGTCTATTCACTACAGGGAGAAGAGTTTGGAGAAGGCAGGAGAAGTGAACAATCGAGGCCAAAAAATCTGATTTGGAGAAATTCTCCAATTCAGCTGTTTAGTGTTATCAGTTATTGTTTTGATATAGAATTATTGCTCACACTGCAACTTTTGCAGCGATATGCGACACGTGTGGTGTAATTGTTGGTTTTGCACACAGTTGCCTTTTTACGTTTATAAGTGCGTGCACGTGGGGGCGAGGGACTTAAAAATTTTTGGGTTTTTTTAGATTTTTTTTATCAAAAAAAATATCCATTTTATTTTTTTTAATATGAGACTCAAAAAACTTTTTTAAAAAACTTCTTTTTTTTTTTTACATTAACTTGATTGCTATCTCATAGTAAACTAAAATCTCCCAATGTGATAGAAAAAAATGACAGGTCCTCTTTATGGAGACATCAGGGGTCCCCAGGACCCCTAATGTCCCCTATGCACCCCAAAGAAGCTGATGATGCAGAGATCTGCTTCACCAGCTTCTTCTCTGGCTCTCAGCCAGAGAAATTACAGCTATAAGCGGAAGTGATGTAATACACATATAATACACATCGCTGCCGCTTTTAGAGAGAGAAGTTGAGAGATGAGCGGTGGAGGAAATGCTGATCTCTCCTCCTTCTCTCTAGTAGCGGCCGCTGTGCCGGTGTTCTTTAGTGCCGGCCGAATGCTTGTATGAAACAGCCGGTAATGGCTGTTTACCTTCCTGGCGGGATTTTGCCCGTGCACGTCCGCTAGCAGAAAAAAAAATCAGCATATGTGTGTATACCAGAGCATCAATCCTATGGTTCCGGAATTGGCTACTTGATGTCTGCCAATGCATGCACACAAGCTCCATCGTACATATGTGGAATCTACTGACAAGTGTGTTTTGCTATGGAATGTACGCTTCAACTTCTTAACGTATGCCAGTTAAACCATAGTGGGCCCTAAATAAAAATGTGATTCTCTAATCTATATGGGCCTATCTGATCTAAAGCATTTTCTAAAGGCACCTTTGATTTAGAATTAAACGTGTGAGCACTTAGGGGGGTTTGGATTTCTGTATATTTTTGTAATTTTTCAGGCTCAAGCATTTTTTTTTTGCCAATGGAAAATTAGGTACTAGAGGAGGCGATGGTCTTTCAGCCTTGAAAAACGCTCAACTTCAGGTGCTTTCAGGGACTTCCATTGAAGTCTATGAGGTCAAAAACACCCCATTCTGCTTCAGAAGTATCACAGGCACAATTTTAAAAGCATGGGACTTTGGTTGGTGAGCATTATGGAACCTTGAGCTTCAAGTTACAAAACCCTCAGGTGTGAATCAGGACTTAATTACTATTATGAAAGGAGATTAAAAAAAAAATCTTAATTATTTGTAAAAAGCCTCAGTGAAGCATATGCAGGGGAGCAAGTGTGCAGTTCCCCCTCCCAAACAATACCAGACCCTTTAGGTCTGGTAGGAATGTTAGGAGGGACCCCATTTAAAAAAACAAAACAAAAAGTGTGTGGGGTTCCCGCTCAAAGTCATACCAGACCCATAAGGTCTGGTAGGAATATTTAGGAGGTACCCCCTGTAAAAAAAACAATAAAAAGTGTGTGGGGTTCACCCTTAACGTCATACCAGGCCCTAAAGGTGAGGTAGGAATTGTAAGGAGGAACTACACCCCATAAAATGGGGGGGGGGTGGGGTCCTTTAAATTCCATACCTGACCCTTAATCCGAGCATAGGCCTTGCAGGGCCGGAAAGTGGGGGGACGAGCGAGCGCCCACCCTCCCTCCCTCCCATACCAGGCCACATGCCCTCGGCACTGGGAGGGTGTCCTCTGGAAATTCATCTTGTCCCCGTGCCGATGGGGACAAGGGCCTCTTCCCCACAAGCCCTGGTGTGCTGGTTGTGGGGGTGTGGGCAGGAGGCTTATTCACTTCAGGGTACCCCTTTAATAAAGGGGCACCCAGATGAGTAAATGAGTAAGGGGTACTTGTACACCTACCCATTCTCTAAAGGGTTAAAAAAATCCTTTAATTGAAAAAAAAACACACAACAAAGACGGTTATTAGATTATTGTATACATGTGTTTTGTTAGCTGGCTATGTTGAAGTGATGGTGGTTTCCTGTCTGCCCCACTTCCTGTCTGCCCCACTTTGACATCACTTCCTGTTTGAAATCACCTCCTGGTTTGCTGTGTGAGACATCACTTCCTTTCTGACATCACTTCCTGCATAAAACAATAAACACATACTTGTGCTGGGGGCTCTTAGCATGGAACGAGCGAGCAAGCAACACCTGCCTCCTGTGTCCTAACTCTACATGACTCTGCGAGAGGTACTGCCAGTCCTTGTACAAAAGAGCGTAATACAACTGTGCTTTTAAGCACGGGGGAAATTCTTTGTGTTTGACATACTTTGGCGCAGTTTAGTGCGGCATGGATTTGTGCGTTGAACCAAGCGAATTTCCATAACACCGCCGTCACGTCCGCTCGTGACGTACTCCCACCGCAGAATGGCATTTTGACAGATGTCGGCAAAACATAAACAATTGGGCGGAGATAGCGGTGACTGATAGCTCCGCCCAACTGTGTACAGTTGTATGTCATCTGACAGAGTACTGACCCCTGATTGGGCAAAGTCTTGCACCTGACCTGTGGCTAGATGCAAGCCTTTAGCCAATTAGGGCTTCACAAGGCGCATTGCCTTGTGGGGCGTTCAGCGGTCGAACAGAGCACCCGAACGCCCTTATAGTTTGTGTGTTTGGCGAACTAGCAGCTAACAAGCAGTCTATCAATGTGTCTTCACACTGGTGGAGTAGTGTTAAAGGAGAACTATGGGGTCAGTGTTTTTCCCCATAGTTCTCCTTGGGGTAACGGGAGGACACAAACTAGCGTCCTACCGTTACCCTAAGCTCAGTATACCGCGAGCTACAGCTCGCGGTATACTGAGACGCCGCACCTGGAGCGGATCCCGACTTAGATGATGGGATCCGCCCAGCTGCGTGAGTGACAGCTGGCTCTGCCTATCTAGAGGCTGAGCCAGCTGTACCCGCCCCCTCCCCCGTCCGTTCTGCCAGTCAGCGCTGGCAGATCGGAGCGGGGAGAGGGGAATCCAGCCCCTCCCCCTGTCACGGCAGAGAGCCGTGACAGGATCGAGAGGTGAGGGAACCCGGTATGTGTTCCCTCACCTCCCGATCTACTGAGCCGACCTGTGACAGTCTCATTGTCACAGGTCGGCTTAGAACTATGAGATGAGTGGAAATCACTCATGTCATAGTTCTCCTTTAAGTCCGGGAAAGGATATCCATGGTAGCCTGTACACTGATGAGATCAAATGGCAACACCCACTGAGGAGGATATGCTGGTAAAGTACTAACCTGCTGTTGCGGAGATACTGTACCTTGTAGATGTGTCACCTCACATGACCAAAATGACCTATGGTCTCTCGTGGATTGCCCCTTACCCTTGCCTCTCGGGCCCCCCTTGTCTGGCAAAGCTCTGTAAATCTTAATGTAGGTATGGTTACCTAAACTTCTCCTGAATCAGAGTGCTTTGTCAGAGGTACATCATGTTTGGCCTTGACCTTTTTTAGTTAGCTAAGCACTGCTGATCGTGTCATCAGTGGGTTGGATTTGGCTGAAACAAAACTCCTGAGCATGTTCACAGGGCTCTCTCTCTCTCCCTAGTTGGAATCCAGCTACAAGGAGCTGGGCTGCTGCCCAGTTCTGAGGGCTTAGGCCCTCAGGGCCTACCATGTGCTTGTGAACCTTCCTGAATTCTTGAAAGGTTCCTCACCCATGCTGACCTAATGAATTGGTACAGAGAAGACACAAGAACCTCTGTTGTAATGGAACTACTTCTTCCTACTATGAGAGTAGGTGAAGCTCGATGTCCATGCAGAGACTGTCAGTCAAGAAACTTCGCCCTACCTTTTTGGTATTTCAACCCTTACCTTTCCTGGTCTGCTGCTTTTAAAAAGGCATTGAGTACTGTTACCTGTGATTACTATAAGAAAGTCATCTACCGTGAGTAGTAAACCTGGGGACAAGGTCAATCTCTGGGGGTCCCACTTGAATAATACAAAGCCCTGCAGCATGGAGACACTGCCACAAAAGAGTAAAGTGTTATGAAAGTCCCAAACTCTCACTTAGCGGAGGCTCCAGATCTTCTGGATACCTACAGGTTACAGCTGTAGCTCAGTGGGGTGGGCCATATCCTCTGAAACACCTCGTCCCCGCGCCAAAACAAGGCTACAGTAGGATCAGGGGCGTCCCAAAGCCGAGTGTGTCACCCAGGAGCGGGGACTGGGTGACACCCCGCCATGACGTCATCATGCATGCGCGGATATCTCAATGACGCCTATTGGCGCCATCTTGGTGATGGACGCCGGCAGAGCGAGGAGGGGACATTCACTCGGCGGGATGAGGTATGCCGCCGGGTCCCCTCCTCTCTCCTGACACTGTTGAGCTCTCGGTCCATGACCGAGTGCCAGACTTTTTTAGAGGAGGTGACGCCATTATAACTGTCAGTCATTTTGGTGTCACACCTCCAATGTTGTCACCCGGGTGCGGCCTGCACCCCCCTTGTGACGCCACTGAGTAGGATTGGATGGACAGAAATACAAATCCTGTGGCAGGTAAAACAGTTCACATGCATGTATTTTAACTGCACATTTAACTGTTTACCTGAAGTTCAGATATCTATGCACTTTTAGCATATTCTACCTTGTTGTGCCCCCTTCATACATCATTATAAACTGTTACTGTCTTCTATATTTATGATACATACAGGATCGCATGTAAAAACATAAGTTATCTAATAAATCTGTTTGTGGTATGCGCATTTCCTATGTGCTTATTTTTAAACGATTACTCATTTTAGTGCATCAGTCACAGCACTTCTGTTTTTTTGGCTTTCACGATCTTTCATAACTGTGTTCCACACCAGCTCGCCTATGGGAGAATTAGATAGCACAAGCTATCTTTATGATAAATGAGTATATTCATAATGGTACTAAGAAGTACAGAGAGGGACAGTCTCTACAGAGGAAATTTGTAGGGACTGTCATTTACAAACTTTCACAATCTAAGGTCTGTCAAATAGTAGCTAAGGGAGGAGAGAAAGGCAGAAGAAAGAAAGAGTAGAGAAAGGGGATGGAAGATATACCTATTTGGAGGTTTAGATTGCCAAAAAAGAGGTGTAAGAGGGCTCTGCAAGGAAGATAAACTGCTACGGTCTCTCTCCAGAGCTCATGCTTGGAGGGAAGCCAAAGTAGGAGGCGGGGCCAATGAGGGATAGAGGTCGTAAAGAGGGGAGATCCTGGGAAGAGGCCTAAGATGCAAATGAGATAAAGCTTGTTCCACTAAGGTTGACCTTTTAACTATAGGTCTAGGGAACTAATCCGAGATCCTGGAAAGAAGGTCCGCTTTATGGTATACCTCAAATTTTGGTAGCCCAATAGCCCCAGAGGCCTTAGAATTACAGTGTAGCTTATATGAGAGATTCCCCATTGCAACTAACTTTGATATAATGAGAAGGTCCTAGGAGGAAAGGTAAGGATGGTTTGGAGGATATACAGTATAACAATTTAGGGAGAATGTCCATTTTCAGGGTATTAATTTTCCCAAACTACAAGAGGTTTAGAGAATGCCAAGTCTCCAGGTCTACACAGATTTTAGCAAGTAATGGGAGGTAACTAAACCTCAATAAAAGTAGAAGCCTTGCACAGTGCAGAAATATTTTTATTCAAAACCACACAATGCTGGGCATTTGTGGGACCTGCAGTGTCCCATGGAGTGTTTGGTACACAACGCTGCATAGAACACTCTATGACCGGAGGAGGAGTGCCCAATGATATGACTATGACAGGCCATGTGACTGGGCTCTCCTCCTCCTGTTACTCCAAATAAATGGAGGTTTGTTTGCTTTGAAACATCAGAGGGTTTATATGTAAAGGACACAAATGTGCTTTTTGAATGTGCTGGTGATCTTTTGTGTTTTGGGCAGTGGTATGGCCATGGTAAGGCTGTAACAACACTTTATAAATGGACCTCTAAATAAGCCTAGTAATCCAGACTGGTTTCCTTTTCAGAATATGTTGCTTCACTGCCAAGTCCTGAAGCACCAGAGATCTTTATTAGTGAAAGAACTATTTCATTTTCTAAAGTAGAGCTGTTGTATATGAATAATGAATTAATATTTTACTTCCTAAGTAAAAATTCATGGCGTTACTTTATTATTTTTAGGATTTCATTCATTTCCCGGGGAACAAAGATATGAGGTGGTTTATCCTCGGAAGCTTCATACTCAGCACAAGAGAGACACACAGGTACAGTAACTGATCTGCCTTTAGTGTTCACATGGGAATCACTAATGTCAACGGAAATTTATAAAAAAATGATTGCAAGATATAAAATAAATAACTGAGAAATTGTTAATAATGGTCGGATAAAAATACATTTTTTTATAATATATTTATTTTGGGTTGCTAAATCTTAAAATGTAAAGCTGTCTCCATCAGGGGCAGATACAGAGTCTAGTCTCAGAAGGGGCATGCCACTGGTCTCCATGCTGTTCCAGCATCACTTTTATTCCCCCAAAGCCCAACTCCGGTGGGGATGTGCTACTGGTGGAATCACCAATAACATGATCCCTTTGCTTTGCCTCCTATAGACATGGAAGGCTATGGATAGAAATGGACATATTCCAGTTAAGAGTATTAACAATACAATTTGGACAGCCAATAATTTGAAGGGACGATTTCTGAAGGAATTGGTATACGTTACTGGATTATGGAAATGCTAGTGTTTTGATAGATCTGCTGCCCTGAGGTCAGGTTCCCCAATGCGCCCCCCTACCCGACAACCCCCCCCCCCCACGGAGAATGGCAGACCTGCAGGCTGCATACAAGTGACCTGGGTGATCACTTGTACAAAACCAGTGGTGGCTTCCCCGCCGTACCTGTACATTTAGCTCTGCTTGCCCAAAGCAGGGCTAAATGTAGAAAACATCCACCTGCCCGGCGCCCGGAACTGCATGTCCCGGCATCGGCAGATAGGAATTCCACACCCCTGCTGCCCCTCTACTCCCTGCTGCCCCTTTACTCCCTGCTGCCCCAAGCCTGGGCCTTGGTTGTCCTTGTGGGAAATCCAGCCCTGTATATCTGCTCAGAAGGGAGATTTTCAAGGAAACAAAGTGGATATTTCAGATATTTTAACTCCTAGGGGAATAAAAAACAAAAAAGAATTTCTATTTACTCGGACATTATAAAACCTGTATATTTTTGTTTATTATTAATCATTTTAATTTAAATATATTTCTGGCTATGTCTGGGTTTATTTGTTTTACTGAGATCTGTTTTTTTAATTGTATCGTTTAGGTATACGGTATATTATGACGAATGGCAGTAGTTTTTATTTTACTTTTTGATTAGCATTTGTGTTTAAACTTTAATATTTTGTATTGCAATGCATGTTTATTCTCCTGATTCCTTAGAATTGTTGTAGATTAGTTATAGGGAATGGAGAAGACAGCAAATTTGCTTCGGAAATGACTACAATGGCTTGGCTTTGCTGGAATCCTAGCAGGGAGATTTCACCAAAATATTGACTATTATAACGAACCATTATGTGATACACTGCCTGGCCATCAAAAAGTCAACACCTGAATTTAGCGAATAAATATGTAAGAACTATAGGGGTTGCTTCAGTTGGTTCAGCAACGTTATGTGCCCAAAAAAATTAGGTAAGCTGCCTACCTGAATACAGTAAACTCACAGTTATCCGGCACCCACGGGAATCAGTAGGTGCCGGATATCTGTAGTTTATGGTTGCTTGAGAGTTAATAGTAGCTCTCAAGCAACCATACCTCCCCCTGCGGGGCCCCGCTCTTCCACAACCCCACTTGCCTTCCGGCTAGCTTCCGCAACCAACAGGTGAATGTAAGCAGCCAGTAGCAATAGGCAGATTGCTATTGGCTATTTCAAATTGCAATAGCCAATAACAGGCTGGATATTGCCCACTAAGGAGAGGAACGGCACTGAGAGAGAAGTTTGCTCTAAGGTCCATTCCTCTGCTCAGTGGGCATGGACTACAGCCAGCCTGCTATTGGCTATTGCAATTTGCTAATAGCTGCCTGGCTTTTTCTCACCCATTGTTTACACTCTGCTGCCGACCACGGAATCTAGCCGCCGGCCATTTTTTTATGTGATATCAAGCCCATATCAAGTGAAAAATGAATGCAACTCTGGACTGAAATAAATGTTGTTACATTGCATAAGCTTATCAAAAGGATGCCACAGCAAAAGCATGCTGTAATCAAAGCTAAAGGTGGGCCAACTAAATATTAGTGTATAACTTTTGTTTTTGGCCAGCCAGTCTATAGCCCAGCAGAATCCACTCAGAACAAAAGTCAATAATGCCAGATTATGTGAGCAGGGTAAATGGCATTTTGATATTCTGTTCAGTATTCATGATCATCATCATACAATACAATATACAGCCAAAATTACATTTGGTGTCACTTATCCCAGATCTCTAATCAGAGCCACCAAAATAGTTAAGGGTTTGAACACCTGAAAATGAGACAATATACTGTAAGAAAAGTATGTAGGCAGGTGGATTGGCTAGTAACGGCAGCTTTCAACCTTTATTACATGGTAAGCACCTACTAGATGTATGTGAACATCTCTCCAAACAATTAAGTTTGGGACATAAATTGGAACACTGATTATGACCCAGGTCTTCTCATGCAATATCAGAAGATGACCTCACCAATGTTCTTTTGGCTAAATGGGCAAGCCTTGTGGGAAGCCATACCAAAAGAGTGGAGGCTGTTGTAGATACAAAAAAGGGGCCACTTCCATAGTATTGCCCATGATATGGAACATGATATCTAACAAGGTGTGATGCTAAGGTGTCCACAAACTTTTAGCTATATAGTGCATGTGATGTCATTGGACTCTTCCTCTATATCGGAGCTCAAGCCCCAACTACAAACATTGATTTGTACCTAGCCCCAAATGTGAGACATAACTAGGACACCTTTTGCTCCAACATTAAAAAACAACAATACAGAAGATGATATAATTTATATTTTTTTAAAACAAAGAAGGGGGGGATTTATCAAAACTGAAGTAGGCAAAATCTGGAGCAGCTGTGCATAGCAACCAATCACCTTCTCTAATCAGTTTGGTTAGTTAAGATTTGAAAATGAAAGAGAGAAGCTGATTGGTTGCCGCACAGCTGCTCCAAATTTTGTCTACTCCAGTTTTGATAAATTCCCCCCAATGTGTGTTAAAACAGGTAAAGTTAGGATAACATGAATCAGAGTTTTCTTTAAAGTCCTCATTATGTTTTTGCCAAATTCTTGTAAAAGCGGTTCCCGGAAGACGTTATACTTTTAGTGTTAATGCCACTTGTGTCTTTACAGAGCAAATATCCAGACCTGGTGCATTATGGGTTAGAATTTAATGGACGGCCACTAGAACTTCAGCTGCAAAAGACTGAGTGAGTACCTCCATACACATCGCTTACCATTACACACTCATTTATCAAAGAGAATGAAAATGTGCCAAATGGGTTCACATGTAAAGTGCCTTTTTCTGCAGTGAACTTCTTCCAAAAGTTACCCATTGTAGTACTGAACAGCAGAAAAATATTTTTGCATTATGCTGAGTATTATAAAGCCTACTTTTCAATTTTCCTAGAGACCTGCTAACTAACAACTATACAGAGACCCATTATCTGGATGATGGTACTCCAGTGACTACAAGCCCAGAATGGCAGGTATGTGGGATGAGATGAGAATTATTATATTGCCATTTCAGATTGTTATCTTTAAAGGGTTTACCTACTGTATCTAGAATGGATCAGAGCCTTAGATTATTCAGACTTTGGAAACATGCCCCTCATAGACTATTCATACCAGTGTATATAGAATGCAGCATTATCCAGATGGCGTTTCTACTCTGCAGGAAACAAATTGAACTATGGCACAGCCATTGGAGCATTGAAGGGTTGCCATCCGTAGTTCTAGAGGATTAGTAAGCTGGAAGATGGCCAAACCCAACTCAACAGATTTGGTTGGACTTGACCCTTTTAAGAACCAACAAAGTACATGTTGGCAAATATAAAGCGATATATATATATATATACACACACACACACACACACAAATGTATTAACCCTCTCTTGGCATATTTCCTATTTTGTTGTATTACGACCTGGAATTAACATTGATTTTTGGGGGGTTTGTATCATTTGATTTACACAACATGCCTACCACTTTAAAGATGCTAAATATTTTTTATTGTGATACAAATAAGAAATAAGACATTAAACAGAAAACTTAAAGTGACATTAAACCCTCAGATTTTTTAACATAAACCAATACTGTAATGTGTGCCTTACTGTAATCCATGGTAGTTTCCCTTCTCTTTTCTGCTCTTCCTTTTAAATCCTCATGTCTTCTCATGCTGGAGGAGAACTTCCCTTTGCAGCTCAGGGCCTCTTCCTGTAGTGCTGGCTCAGGTTACAAACCAATACACAGACACCATATATCCATTCCTGAGACAAGGCAGTCTGCTGCAAAACAGAAGGTCTGCCCAGCATGAGAACAGATACAGATTTAAAAGGAAGAGCAGCAAAGAGAAGGGAAACCACCATGGATTACAGTAAGACACACATTACAGTATTGTTTTATGTTAAAAAATCTGAGGGTTTAATGTCACTTTAAG